TCAGTATCTCGATAATTTTTAGAAGTAGGCTCTTCCTGCAAATATTTTTGAAATTGAAAGCAGAATAAGGTTGAACGTCAATTAGTTGACAGTTAGTTTTGTTGTCTGTTGAGACCTGAAACGTTTTTTTGCAATTATGAATGCACGAAATTTAGTTTCTTTTACCTGTTTTTTTTTGTAAGTTTTATAAAAATGCTATTTTTATTCTCCAATCAAGAGTTAGCGGATATTCATTTTGTGTATGGCTTTGTAAATGGAAACGCAGCAGAAGCAGCCAGAGAATACGCACGAAGATTTCCAAACAGACGACATCCAACTCGCTCAGTATTTGTAAGAGTGCATCGCCAAATAATTGAAATTGGGTTTGGAAATCTCCAAAAGGATCAAAACATAAATGTTCGACAGCGCAGATTTACCCGTATGATTCTGCGTGAGTTTGATAGAGATCCGACCACAAGTGTTAGGAGAGTTTCTGGTGCATTGGGAATTTCAGCAAGCCATGTTCACCGTGTTCTTAGAAATGACCATAGACGTCCTTACCATTTGCAACCTGTGCAAGGACTACAGCCAGGGGACGGAGAACGAAGAATCACATTTTGTCAGTGGATAGAACTGATAATAATAGGGAGTTTTTAAGTAACGTTTTATGGACCGATGAGTCATGCTTCACCAGACGTGGAGTGGTAAATTTTCATAATCAACATATTTGGTCGCATGAAAATCCGCATGCAGTTCGGATTGGTATCTACCGAAATCGACCATTTATTTGGACCCTACCTTTTGCCTGCAAGGTTAAATGCTGCGACCTTCTTGGAATTTTTAAAGGCTGAACATGCAAATATGTGGGATGATGTTATGTTAGATTTAAGAAGATTGGCCTGGTTCCAGCTTGATGGTTGTCCAGCTCATTATTCGAGAATAGCTAGAAACTGGCTGGACGAAAATTATCCAGAAAGATGGATCGGCCGTGGAGGACCAGTCGCCTGGCTTCCACGATCCCCTAACCTAAATCCATTAGATTTCTTTGTGTGGGGATTTCTAAAAGAAAAAGTGTACCAGACTCCCGTAACCACAAGAGATATGCTAATAGACAGAATCAGGAATGCATGTGATGAAATAAGGCCTTATTTGAATAATGCTATACCACGTTCGATCATTCGTAGATGTGAATTGTGTATTGAACAATTGGGTTTACATTTCAAGCAACTACTTTAGATTTAGATTTTGTATGTTTGTCCTAACTATCCAATAGCATTTTAGTTGTAAATAATTAATTTAATTTGTTAAAAATAATATTGGAAAATTAAGCAAATTAATATTCTGTTTTTTGTGTTTATTTGGAGTTAGGAATTATTGCTGTGTTTAAAAACACAATCTAGACAATCATCTTAATCACTTGTAATGCCCAAATCGAAAATGTAAAAAACATATTATTTTCCCATAAATAATTAAAAATGCATCGAACGTTAAAAATCGAAATATCATAAAAGTTCTATCGAATCTTAAAGTTATGCAACAATAAACTGAAACACTCTGTATATATATATTATAATTTTTCGAAATTTTCAAATCCTTTAAAATTTTCAGAATCTTCAAAATTTTCAAAACTTGGAAATTTCCCCAACTTCAGTTTTCATATTATTGTAAGTTTCAATTTTCTAAATTTTCGCTTTCGGACAATAACATGAATATAACATTGGTCATACTCTTTATCTATTAGCTTTTTTAAAATACATGGAGCGGAAACTAACAATTTGAAAGTGAAGATGAAATAACCACATACCGCTTCTCCTCTCTTATTTTGACAATTTTTTGAGATGTAATGAAGTTGTTTTTATCATTTTTCTTCCGAAACAGATAAGGTATAAAGTGACACAAGTGACAAAAAGTTGTACTATTAGGTGCTTAAAAAATAAGTATTTTTCTGAGTTAGTGGCCTGGGTATTTTGCCAGATTTTGCCTATTCTGGTGCTATGTAGATTCTTGGTTACAGTTCCAATAAACAGCTCGCACTGGTCAATTCTGAATAGGTACTTTGTACTGTCTTATTTTAATAGACCTTATACTCTGAATAGAGTAGGCTTGCTCAGTTTTCCTTCGTTGTCCTACCCGAGACCAAACCTACACCATACTGAAGAGCTGCCACTCTATGGGCTTAAATTTTTATCGCTAGCCTTTGCGGATCCCGGACTATTAATAATAAACCGAAGCGGAGCGCAACATTGTAACAGAGAGACAGAGAGAGAAAAAGAAACAATTTAAATTAGTAGTCACGAAACATTTATAGTTGTAGATTATCAAATATACAGTACTTAATTTCGCCTCGCGAAGTTCCGCTGGAATTTCTATTCAGTTACCTAATATGAAGATCTGGCAGCGAAGTTGCAAGAGCGGAGTTTAGAATGACGACGCCTACTGTATGCAGTCGTAATTTTGGAAGATAGCTGCAAACTTCTGTTTGGGAAGTTACGTTCTACCGATGCTGCAGATTCTCCGCTTTGTCTTGGCATTAAGATTATCCAGAGGCGGAGAGACGGACTGTTGTATTTCAAAGGCTGCCGGCCAGCTCGCCAAAGAATCAAGTTCTGAAATCTGCAGTTAGTCCTAACGAACACAAAACATGACTACAAGGACAAGGTTCAACTGCTGGAGGATGTAGTCGTAACAACACCCTGTGTGGTGCACAAAAATGGTAAAGTGAGGGATACAAATATTTGGTGGAATTATGCATATAATAATAATAATAATATTTATTCGCCAAAATACAAAAAATGGGCAAATAAATATGAAAAAACCACAGAAGGCATCGCCTGTGTGTGGTTTATATCTTAATAACTAACAATCAATCATATATGTGTATAACAATTATTGTTAAATCTAAAAGGTATTAATGTAATTGGAATTTTGTAATTTTAGTTTTCTATATAATTATGTATAGTCATTCGCTGCACATTACTAACCCAGTCTTTCAATTTTCTTCTAAATTTTTTTCCAAAATTAGGTATCTTTATTTCGTTTGGTACTACATTATATAATTTAGCTGCTAAGAATTTAAATGATTTTTTGAATAATGTTTTGTGTGGTCTTTGGATATTAGATGAGCCTATTCGAAATCGTGTGTTATGCTCGTGTTTATAGGATTTTTTCTTTTTATTACAATACTTATGGTATAAGGTGGTGGCATGTAAGAAATAAAGTTGTCTTGTATCAAGTATCCCTGTTTCTCGATATAAGTTGTTCGTTGGATATAATCTTGGCTTATGGAAAATGGCTTTCAAAACAGTTTTTTGTGCTATATTCAGGTCAGAAATATATGTCTTGCAGGCGGCACCCCAGGCTGTGATGCCGTATGTTATATGGGTTTCAACTAAGGCATGGTATAGGATTCGCAGATAACTTTCTGTAAGAATGTTAGCAAGCATTTTGAGTTTATAGGCAACATTTCTATTTTTTTTGGTAACATATTTAATATGGTTATCCCGCCTTAGATGTGAGTCTATAAATATTCCAAGTGTTAACTCTATCGATTTTGGTCTTTTGGCGATGATAATTAACGGAAATTTGTTCGAAGGTAGGTAAAAATTTTGAATAGGATGTAAATGCAATAAATTTTGTTTTTTTGAAGTTAACTGTTAAAATTTTAGTATCAAACCAGTCAATGATCCTTATAAAATCCTGTTCAGCTATTTGCTTCAGTGTGCTCCAGTCATCAGCTTTATATAATACGAGGGTGTCATCTGCAAAACATATAATCTTTCCAGAACTGTTAATTTTGAATAAGTCATTTAAGTAGAGACTAAATAATAGTGGGCCTAGTACTGTTCCTTGAGGCACACCACACTGTACATTTTTTTACTGTAAGTGCTGGTGATTTTGACAGTCTGTGTACAACTTGAAAGGTAATTTTTTAAAAGGATTTGTGACGCTCGCCTAAATCCCAATCTTTCCATAACTTTCAGAAGCTCGACATGGTTAACCGTATCAAAGGCATTTTTTAGATCAACAAAGATACCAATAGTAGGTATCTTTTTGTTAACATTAGAGTTAATTTCATCCATTGCAGCCAAAATTGCATCTCTAGTAGATTTTCTTTTTCTAAATCCATATTGGTCAGAACATATCGGTGGTGTCGGAGAAAAAGGGGATAAGTCGTTTTTGGGTCAAAATGAGATATGTCCATGCCTCGACTTTAAAATATCATATCTTCTTTCGGATGAAATGAGATAAGTCATATCAACGCAAACAACGGAGCCAAATTGGTGTTCTTTTGGAGTCAAGTCCAAAACTGGTCTCAAAATTGTTCAATACGAGATAAGTCAACTTATTTCCTTACGTACAAGACGATCGCGCATTTCACTGTGGGCTAAGGGAGATAAGTTGACATATCCCATTTCGCCCAAATACCTTTTCATTGTTTACAATAGACATATTCCTTTTTGTTCTCAGTTACTGTTGCATTGTCGTAGCATGATTAGTTCTAGTCGTGAAAGTTTCGCCTTAATCGATTAAAAAAATGAGATTAGGTGAGCAAAAATGTGTCTCAAAGGGATTGCGAATTGTGTCTATGTGTAAACCTCATCAGGCAGTTGCAGATGGTAAGTAAAATCCGGAGTATTGAGTTTCTGAAAGAAACCTAACCTCAAATTTTTAATATCAAACAGATTAGATCTTACTGTATTTATTTGTTACGTATTAGTTGTTTATCAACAGGTGATATACTTACGGTATAAAATGAGGAGTAAAATTAATAAATTTAATTTTTTGTAGAATGAATTTGTTCGGCAAAGCTACTAAAAGAACAATAATCCTAATATGTTTCTGTTTTCATTTCATACGAGAATTAGCGGGGAAGTAATATAATCACGAAAAATTCGGAAATTGAAATATATTTTTTCTATGTTACATGACATGTAGATCACGGATTTTTTTGTTTTTTAGATTCCGATGATTCAAGTGTTCCTCCATCTTTACCAGACGAATACAAGCAAATTTTTGATGGAATGAGCGAAGATGATTATGTGCCTTCCAGTCCAGATTCCAGCGATAGTGATGCACCTCTTATTCAGTATATCCGAAGATCAGGAGTTGAAGAAGCTAACAAACAGACAAGGTCAAATGAAAAGCATAAGACGAGAAAATCTATTAAAGGAAAAACAAGATTTGCCAAACTAGAGAGGAAATCTAGAAGAAACTTTTGTATGGCATATATTACCGAGTCAGGAAAAGCGAAACAAGCAAGAGTATGCCAACCATTACTTGATTGCCGAATGAAATGCAGAGAACGATTCACAGATGCTGATAGGCAGATCATCTTCAATGAATATTGGGGTGCCGGTTCCCATTTAAAACGTGTCACTTATGTCACAAGTATGATAAAAAAACTGAAAAAAGCATTTGCCAAAGAAAAGAAATTAACTGGGATCAACAAAAATCGTCAATATTCCCTAAAATATTTTTTAAGAATGAACGGAATTGAAAATCAAATTTGCAAAGTCTGCTTTCGGAAAACTTTGGGAGAAACGAATAAGTTTTTGGAGTTATGCAGTCTAAAATTAAACACAAATCATAGTGGGATATACGAAAGCGATCGCCGAGGCAGACAGCCACCAAAAAATAAATACACGGAAGCCGACATAAAAAACGTCACATCTTTTTTTCTTAAAATTCCACTCTACCGCAGCCATTATAGTAGACGAGATAGCAATAAAAAATATCTGCCACCGCACTACACACTTGCTATGGTATACAGTCAATACTTAAGTGAACCTGATCATGTTGTTATTAGCCGTACAAAGTTCGAAGAGATTTTCCACACGTTGAATATCGGAATTAAGAAACCAAGCAAAGACACTTGTGGGAAATGCGACTGTCTGAGAATGAAGATAACATTGACTAGTAACGTTGAAGTATCAGCACGAATTAGACACGCATCAGAAACAAGCTGACGACTATTATAAATTGAAGGCAGAAGATAAACGATTATCAAAAATTGATCCAACGACAAAAACAGTCACGTTTGATTTACAACAATGCCTTCCAACTCCAAAGGTTTCTACAGGCATTTCTTTCTACTTAAGATAGCTATGGACCTTTAACCTAACTTTCCATGACTGTGACAATGATCAGGCTTATTGTTTCATGTGGCATGAAGCTATAGCGGGCAGGGGAGCTAACCAAGTCGGATCATGTATACATCAGTTTTTAAATAGCATTCCATCAGATGTTGAAAAGATTACGCTTTACTCAGATTCTTGCACTGGGCAAAACAAAAATGCACACATTGTAGCGATGTATTTTGCCTGCTTGAAATATCACCCAACTTTGACAATAATACAATACAAATTTTTAGTGCCCGGCCATACACACATGGAGTCTGACTCCGATCACGCTCTTATTGAAAAGAAACAGAAAAAAACAGAGACACAAATCGATCACCCTCGCGATTGGTATCAGTTGGTTCGATGCTCTGGAAAAAAACATCCTTTCAAAGTTGTGGAGATGGACCAGTCAAAATTTTTTAATTATGCAAAACTGTTAAAAACAGAGCTTCAAGTGAAGAAAAAAGACGAAACGGGAAACCTCTTTTACTGGCGTGATATTCGAGAAATAATTATCAACAAAAATAATCTTGGGGTAATGTATTTTAAAACGGGCATCAATGAAAGTTATAGGTGCCTTTCATTCAGAAAGCGGGGCTCATTAGCAAAGTTAATTCCAGAATTGCAGTACAAAGGATTAGTGCCTATTACCGCGAAGAAGAAAGACAATCTAATGAAGTTGCTGCCGTATATTTCTGACGTATTCTGAGATTTTTATACAAATCTTCCAACGAACCAGGCAGATGACATACATCCAGATTTGGAGTCTTCTGACGAAGATGAATAATAATGGGTTTACCTATCCTACTATGTGTTTTTTTTAAGTTTTGAAACCTTTAACTTTGTTTTTTTTTGCTGGAATATATTAGTCATGGCTTATTTTGTAAAAATCGAATAGAAAATTAATAAAGGGCATTATTTCTGCGTTAGTTTTTATTTTCTTTGTTTAGTAAAACGTGACATATGAGATAAGTAGATTTTCAGGTAGTTCGAAAAGGGATAAGTCGATTTTTTTTTAAAATGTCAAATATATACATATATTCTATGGTACCATTAAAATGACTTGATTTTTTATATATTTCCATGTGAAAAAAATATCACTCAGTAAAACGCCTGATTTGTTGTAAGATTTTGAACTATAGACTAATCTACTGAAAATTTTATATATGCGACTTATCCCGTTTTTCTCCGACACCACCGATATAATTTTGTTTTTGTCCAAAAATTGTAATATCCCTTTTTGTAGTAATTTTTCGAAAATTTTGGCTATATTCGATAGTACTGATACGGGTCTATAATTTGATGTTTCCATTCTGTCACCGCTTTTATAAACAGGAGTAATAACAGTTGTTTTAAATGCATCAGGACAAATTCCAGATTGCAAACACCAATTAATGACGTAAGAAAGTGGTTCGGCTAAGTCGTAGGCTATTATTTTTAAATGGTCGGCTTTGATACCATCTACACCAGGACTTTTTTTGGTTTTAAGTGATAGGACAGCTTCTTGTACTTCAATCGGACTAACGCTTTCTAAAAAGAATGAATTGGGAAGTTGGGTTTTTGTGAACTTTTCGTTCGAAACCATTTTTTTAATACTGGACGCTAAATTTTCTCCAACATTAGTGAAAAAATTTAAGAATGCATCGGATATTTGTCGTTTATCTGTTAATATCGTTCCATCACGATTCTTAATTTCATCAATATTTGGCTTTTCTTGAACGTCTTTGTTAGTTAAGTGATCGACAACTGACCACAGTTTTCCTGGATCAGATTTGGCATCTTGTAATTTTTTTAGATAGAATTGGCGTTTTGCTTCTCCAACTAGATTGATAAAAATATTTTTATATTCTTTATATTTATGGGAGGTGTCTGCACATGGCGATGCTTTCATTATTTTGTATAGTTCCTCTTTTTTGTTGGCAGACCTTGTAAAGCCCAAATATCAGACGTAGAATAATAGGAGAAAATTAGAAAGTACCATAGGGCAAACGGAAAAAGAAAAGCGTTCTTATGCTTGAATGCAAAAGACAACATCAATATGCCAAATAAGAACTAGAAAAGCTCATAACGAACTCTTAACAGAGAACGTGGAAAGACGTATTAAATTACTTAGAAAACTACATTTGGGGACAAGCATACAAAATAGCTATGATAAGGCCAGAACTCACCGTACCTGGATACCGAACAACAAATAAAAATTGCACAGGGATTGTTGCCGAGGTGCTCACCCACCGAATGGAAATTTAAGTTCACTATGAGAAGCTACAACGCGGTTGAAAACAGGTAAGGTACCAGGACTGGATGAAATACCAAATGAGATCATGAAATCGCTGATTAAAGAGATAACCGAAATCGTACTGTGTTCATAAATGAATGCTTGTGAACGGGACTTTTTCCGAAGACATGGAAGGAAGCTGGTTTGGTACTCATCCCAAAACCTCCGAAACCCACCGATAGGCAAGTTAAGTATAGACCTCTGTGTACGCTGAGGTCACTTGGAGAGCTTCTAGAACGACTCATAGAAGGTGAGTTAAGAAAATACGTGGTGGAAAAGCGCAGGATTTTGGCAGAGGTGGCAAGCTCGATTTTGCTGTACGGAGCTCCTACATATAGCAAGGCCTAATACTGAGAAGTACTGCTGTGCGTGGCATGCGCTTACAGAACGGTGACGAACGGTGGTCTGTTGGTGGTGGCTGGTATCCCACCAATAGAGTTGCTGGCTGCAGAGGGATGCGCACTCTATAAAAAGGCGTTGATGATCCCAGATATTAAAGCCTGGAGTGTCAAGGGAGCGGCGCGGATAGGTTACTATTATACTACACAGTTCCTCACAGGACATGGTTGTCTTGATAGCTATGTGAAAGGGTAGGAAAGAGGCAGTACGCGAACTGCGTACATTGCAATGAAGAGATGCACTCCTAATCACCTACCGGAATGTGGTAGGTGGGATGACTACCAAACGCAGCTGGAGCTGACGTTCGGTGAGAGAGTCATATAAGCGAGAGAAAATGGGTTCATATTCAACCAAAGTGAGACGAATGATGCTGAGTAAGGTACTGGACAACAAAAATAGACTAAAGCACCGTTAGTAGGTTTCTATTCTAGTTTGAACGACTAAGAGGTTCTAATCAGTATGCCATTGCTGGAAAATCTCACACTTCGCGCAGGAAGCGGCAGCAGCGTAAAACTGTCGAGTTCTGCTGCCTGAGAGTGGCTACAAAAGCTTTCTCCTGTCAAAAAAAAGATTCAAAGACTGGGGATGATGAGAACCCCTTCAGCAGTAATTTACGTTACCCTGGGATTGCAGCAACTGGGCTCTTGTATAAAGCGGTAGGGCAATAATTCATCACTTATTGGTCTCTGCGCTTTTCGCACAATAAACCTGTTCAATTGAAGTGTCCAACTAGTCTGATTTGAGATATAAAATGCATTCAAATGTGGCATGGCTCCGTATGTTATTTCCGAGTGCGGGATTCGAACCCGCGACCCGTCTAGCCGTTGCGTCAGTAGCTGTCGAGCTACGTGGGTCCCCATCTATCGCTTCATAAATGATTATGTTCAGCACAAAACGTATATAGTCAACTCCAAACAAAGTGGCGTGCACGTCATCACGATAAAAATTCCCCGACCTAATGCCTAGGTTTCTATCACAAACAATTGCTCTATTGCAGTTTTATATTAATGTGATATATAAATTGTAAAATGGTCATTACTCTCTTATTATGGTTAATAGTCATATAAACATTGTTATTAAAATGTCACATAAGTTGCTTTCTGATAAATTTAGACGCATTATGCGAAATAAAATGTTTTGCAAACGCTCCAATCACTTATCGACATGTAAACGCACTAAACCGATTTCGCAGCATTGACACATTGTCACCTTGAAACTTATTTAAACTGGGAACTGACATTTGTATTAATTTTGACACTGAATCAATTTGTGGCATTTCAAATCTTTATAAATCCTTTGGCCCCGCATACTGTAAATCAACAACTGTTTGTTTCAAACCAAATTATTCATTTTACGAGTAGATAAAGGCAATTTTGGTATATAAAGATGCCCAAACAGTTAAATAGTCGGTGTAAGGAACTCGTGGCCTCGTTAATGCACTACTTTGAGCAAGAAAGGGACAACAACGGGCCTTTGTTGCCTTTAAATGCTGTTCAAGAGGTAGGTTACTAATAATTATATGTAATGTACATATATTAATAATAGTGAAATTTTATTTCATTTTTTGTAGCGTGTTGCTGCTGCTTTAAAAATTAGTTTAAGGACAGTTAGTCGTATTTCCGAGGGTGTGAAAAGTGATGCAAATTTAGAATCGCCCAAGAAAAAGCGGAGTTATATTAAACGTGTAACCAACACAGCGACATTGGATACAAGTGCCATTCGAGAAGTGATCTATAATATGTATCACAAAAGTAAGATCTTATTATAATAACTTATCAGAAATTTGCATTAATTTGTTAACTAAATTATAATGTCATATTACACATGGTTTCAGAAGAACAAGTTACGATACAAACTTTATGGTCTCGATTAAGAGATAGGGCATTATTTGATGGTAGTGCCACGTCTTTAAGGCGGTTGCTTAGAGATCTTGGATTTAAGTGGCTTAAGGACAATCCGCGACGAGGGCTCATGGAACTACCAAGTATAGCTTTGAAAAGGGTGGAATTTCTAAGGCAATACAATCAAGCCAAGGTTGAGGCCTTATACCAGTTTGTCTTCCTCGATGAAACTAGGATATTTCAAAATGGGACCATAGGTCGCTCTTGGAAAAATGGAAACCAAAAAAGCGTGAAAGCTATTAAAACAGATGATAAAAGGTATGTACTTTTAC